AGATTTTTACATTTACTAATATTTTGCATATATTTATATGTTTTATTAGTTCCAAAAATATGAATGTCTGTCAAAGTGATTTCAATTTGTGATTTGGTTAATGCATAATGTTTTATGTTTAATATTAATATAATAAATATATTAAATACATGACTATATAATTATAATAAACATAAGGTATATATGTTTTTAAATTAAAGCTGGAACATTCAATGCTTGGCATAAATGAGTAGACCATCTTTTGAAAATTAACATTTTTATCAATTTCTCAGTGAATATAGCTAATTTAGTTTAATGTGAACAAAACAGTTTTATTAATTAGATATATTTATTAAAATAAAAGTTTGGTTGCATCTTTAGAAATAACAAGATAATATGTTAAAAATCAAAACAGGTATTGCAAATACTAAAATTGATATATTTTTATGTTTCCATTGATTTTCAAGTTTATTAAATTTTTATTTAATTATTTTAACATAAACATTATTTTGGTTGTAAATTTAGGATTTACTAATATTTGGACTGTGAGCTTTAGTTTTTTTGTTTTGGCTTTGGTACACTGTAAACAATTCATTTATGTTATCTCAACACAAGTAGATCAAGTTAACTTAATAGAATTTACAAATTTAAGTGAACTGAAAATGAAACAGTTAAGTTATCTCAAAACACCTCAAGAATTGTGTTGATTCAGCTCATTTTCAATATGTTGTTTGAAGAAGCAGCAAAAAACATTTTTGAGTAGCTAATCTAAAAAATATGCTCTAATACATTATTGTAAATTCTCCTATAGAAAATATTAATTTAAAAGAGAGATCTGTGCCCATTATGTGCTGAGCACTGTTGTTTTTATTTTTTATTTTTTTTATTTTAGATTAGAGTTGTATTTTTAAACTTTTATAGAGTTAAAACAGCTTGTTTATGCTAAATATTAATATTTTTTAATGAATATCCTGGTCTTCATTTTAATCACATGACGTTGATCTACTTTACATTTTTCTATTTCAAGGAAAAGTAAAATGAGTTTCTTTTAGCATGTAATATGGTATCTAAGGCAGGTTTCTCTCTGATGTCTATATTTCTTTTGTTTTATAAATCAAAATTTAAATAATAAAGTTTACTCAGTTAAATGGACTTTTGGTTCCCCTTTTTGGTTTCTGATGTTTAGAAATAATGGGGGAAAACTTTCATCTCATTTATACATTGTTTAAAAGGGAAATCTTCATGTCCAAATTTAAAATAAATCTAAGAAAATTAAAGGGATTTTCTCATATTAATTTCAAAGCAAAAATGTTAATAAGTTGTATCTCAAGATTTAAAGAAGAAAAACACAAAGTTACAGATAATGTATTTGTAAAACTGCATTATAATGCTGAAAGATAATAGCTCAGAAACACTGACTGCTCCAGTTTCTTTAATGTACCTTCAATATTTTACGTATTTGTTCTTGCTTAAGAGGGAGTGTTGGCAAAATAGTTTCAAAGAAAGGATTGATCATATTGTGGTTTTGTCTCTCTGTATGAGGAAAGGAAGGTTTCAGCCTCTACCTCACAATTTCCTTAAAATGTCCCATTCAAGGCGTTTTAAAAGAAACTTGAAAGAATTTACCACAATTACACAAAAGAGTCCCCATATATGTGAGATTCACACCTCTTTCTTCCATATCTCTTTCTTTTCATTTCACAGAAGCTTTTCATCAGTATTTTTTTCAGAATCGTTTTTCTTTGGAAATCATCAATAAAAACTCAAAATATGCAAGTAATATGGGGCTTATTTTTGCATGCATGGCACATGCGTATATGGGCTCAGTATTTTGCAGGGATTTTTGTCTAAAACTTTAAGTTGGAGATTTTGATAAGTGTGTTCTTGCGCTGGTATCATTTTGTTTTCTGAGTCCATAAATAAGACCCCACCAAAAGGCAAATGGCTCTCTTTGTAAATGAATCATTGAATCACTGGCTCAAATGATTAATTCAAGAATGGAACATGATAGTGTTCCTATGAGACACATAAGGTTTGTGGGCAAGTATAAAAACAGACACTTTTGTGTTTAAAGTGTAGATCAGTATTTGATTCTTGTCAAAATGTGTCAAATTTACTTGGTGAAATGACACTTTTGCATGTATGACCGTTTAATAAACCATACAATGTAACTTTATTGACATTAATTGCAATATAATACATTTTTTTGACAATAAAGTTAATAGTCTTGTAATAATCCTGAGTTCCACTCCATTTTTTTTCACTATAAGTATTTTCATTGAGTGTTTTCAATAAAAATGGCATTAAAATGATGTTATTTTCTTTTGTAACTTGTAAATTATTACATCATTCTGCTTCATCAAGCAAGGAAAGCTTTAAATTCTTAAGACAATTTTTTTAAAGGTGCGTGACCTGTCGGCTTCCTCATATTTAAAACACATTTACTTTCATTTTTCCCCTTCATTTCAATTTAAAACAACATTTACTAATATTAATAGTCAATATATACTGCACAAGTTGTGACAACAGTTGTCGAAATTCAATCATGGCACAAATAAATAGAGGTTCAATTACATCTAATACAACAAAGCTTAAGTTTGCTACATTTCCTGAAGTATACACACTTGTAAAATCCTACTTTGCATATATTTCAGTTCAAGTCAAGCAAGTCTATGAAACCAATTTTACTTTGCACTGCACTGATCACTGAATAAGTGATGGCAGCTTTTGTTACAGGATCTTGAGATTGTATCTCTGTTGTTTCTCTATAGGATATTCATATATTGTGTTCTCCATATCTGAAGTCATAGCATTCCCTCACAGGTCATCCATTCATGCCTGCTTACGGTAGCCTAAGTGTTAAATAACACAAGCATGCATGCATTATTAAGTGTGTGTAACTGATACAAGGCCCAGTCTGCTATAAAAAATGAATGAAGGGACCTCAAGCTATGGCTAAAATGAAGGAAGCAGACACATGCTGGAAAGCAGTGGTGCCAAAGGGAGTATGTGGTGTTTTATTAAAGGGAGGAGTCCACCACAACATTGCTGATCCTGTCAGTTTCTCATTCCACATACTGGCAAAGTATGCTTAGCTCGAACACAAAGTTTTTGTAGAATGTTTAAAAAATGTTTTCATATATATATATATATATATATATATATATATATATATATATATATATATATATATATATATATATATATATATATATATATATATGTTTCGGCTTAGTCCCTTTATTAATCAGGGGTCGCCACAGCGGAATGAACCACTAACTTATCTAGCATATGTTTTACGCAGCAGATGCCCTTCCTGCCACAACCCAACACTGGGAAACACACATACACTCTTGCATTCACACACATACACTACTTTCAGATAAGCTTATTTAATTTACCTATATATGTCTATGGACTGCTTTTATTTTAGTCGAAATAAAAAAATAAGACTTTCTCTAGAAGAAATAATATTATCAGACATACTGTAAAAATTTCCTTGCTCTGTTAAACATAATTTGAAAAGTATTTAAAAATGAAAACAAAAATTCAAAGGGGGGCTAATAATTCTGACTTCAGCTGTATATATAATATGAAAGACCCACCTGCCCATTGACAATGTCCAGAATTTGGCCCCTTATAAAAGCTCATTTGTCCCATTTTTGACAGTATGCCATCAAAAACTGTCAAATTAATTGATAGAAGAAGGCTTTAGGACAAATTGAAAATTCTGACTGAGGAAATGAGTTGTGCAGTTTGTTATTTCCCTACAGGCTACGGTTTTCGATATGTTTTAGTTGGTTTTTAATATGTTTTAACATATTCCTAATTGTTTTTGTTAATGATGATAAATGAATAATTATTTTTCATCCTTTTTATTCAAAACAATTAATCTAAAAATCTAATCTCATGAATTAATTACAGTTTAAACTCACATTTCTAAATAAACACTTCATGGTAAATCAGTATGGGAAGCACTTTGACAAAATTGTAGGAATTTTTTTTGTTGCATCAAAATATGTGGTTATGATCACCATCCGACAAGCTAATCCAGCAAATATTAGACCTTAATATGTCACTAAAATGCTGTATTTGAACCTCATAATTTAATAGAAATTTGGAATAATAATAATAATAATAGTATAGCATAATAATAATAATATAAATAATAATAATAAAATAAATAATAATAATAATAATAGTAATAATAATAATAATAATAATCATTATTATTATTATTATTATTACTATTATTATTACTCTATTATTATTATTATTATTATTATTATATAGCATAATAAAATATTACTTATACTATAAATAATTTAATAAAATGTGACATTAAAATGACACAATGATAAAATACTAGAGTTAAAGTATAATTTTTAGCATAAATCCTTAAAATTAAAATCTACCTGTTTCTTTGAGTAACAAAATATATTATACCATTAAACTTAAAAAGATTCTTAATTTATTTTTACTCAAGCCGTTTTAAATTTAGATATGGAGTGAAACACATGCAAACTTTGATGTCAGTAGTGAGTTTAGCATTGAGAACTTTAAAATGCATTCGGTAAATTTAGTGATATAAGTTATAAATAAACTTAAATATATGAATATATAAATAAAAAAACAATATGCAAAGCAAATATAAAAATAATTGTGTGCTACAGTATGTTACTAAAATTACAAAAAATATTTGAAGAGAACAATCAAAGCCATCTAGGCCTAAACTATTGTACAATATATATGTATATATATATATGAAAATAACAATTTAAACATTTTGAAGGCATTCGCAGGTCCAATAATATTACGTTTTATATTATGATGAAGACAACACGTTGTTTCCTAAATTAAATACATGATGTCAACTATGACAGCTAAATATGTTTTCAGACATTCTCTAGCACCCCCTCGCGGAATCAATTTGAAACGCCATCGCTGCGTCCCAGGGCTTCCGAGTGCAGTTTTTAGTGTATGCAGTGCGGCGCTAGATGTCGCTGTCGCCGTGTGTCTGCTGCTGCGCGCACCCGGTAGAGCAGTGGCGTCCTCGCGCGCCTCTCATGTGTCAGCGCCAAACAGCAGGGAAAAAACTTCGGCAAAAATGGCGGAGGGTGCAACGTCTCTCAAAGGGTTGCGGGCGCAAATGGGTAAGAATTCAATGATTTACAACTTCTTTTGGCAAGTTCTCGTTACCCAGTCCAGTCATGTGACACATCTTTAGTGCTGTGGCTTTGTTTGGAGGTTGTTTGGTCGGCCGAAGGTTTAAATCCGTTACTTTCATTGAGGCGGTTGAGGGGGAAAGAGTTAGCGGGCTCAGATGGACGGATAACGGCCAGCTAACTGCTAAACTTACTCCAGCAACCGGCAACAAGTTTATGATTGTTTTCTAGTCTGGTCTTGTGGAGTTTAATGCTCATGTCGGATCAATTAACGAGGTTTTGAGGCTATGTTGTGTCCGTTGGGTCTGTATGGAGCTTTCATATAAGTGATGTCTCGCTTGACAGGGACACATCATCATCTCATCTCATCTCCATGTCGTTTTGTTTACTACTTATGGTGTATTATTTCACATTATACACCATAAAACCCTAAAATGTTTCTTTAAACGTGTGTCAATGAGTTCTAAATGCACTTCCCATTTGAACGTTAGCAACAATAGTGAAACTAATGTCGAAATGATTCATTGTGTAAACTATAATTACCTTATATCGATTTTAGTTATTACAGTTAGCTTTTGCTATTGAACTGTAAGTTACATGTAAAAAGCACCAGTGCATATTTAGTGGATATTTAGCTGTATCTGTCGTTTGATGAGTGTTTGACTTGCGGATGCTGTTGGCCATCTTGGTCAGTAATTGCTAAACAGGATGTCTACATATGACTCTCATTACACTTGCAGATGGACTCATAACCTGATGCTTTACCATCCGATTATTTAACCATCTCATTATTCAGCATCTTTGCAGTTGTCATGTGCAGCAAACCAAACTCTGTTTACTAGTTCCTCCCTCCTGGGAAAACATGCATGCTTTGCATGCTCATCTGCATTGCTAATGAGGAATGATTTTGTGTATAGCTTGTGTAAGTAATAGACTGGTAACCTTAGCTTTTACTTTGGCCTGTGGTTAATTTCATAGAGTGTTAAAAGTTTTTAAGGCCTGTTGTGTAAGGAACATAACAGCCCTGGAGAACTTCTGCTTTTTGTGTGCCATTTTATTATTTTTCATAGTTGTTAAGCTCATTGAATTGAGCTCATTGAATCGTCAGAAGCAGGTCACAGTGTGGTTACAAACCTCAAAGTGGGTTCAGATCGAGATCTGCATCCTGGCAATGCAGACATAATGTAGGGTGTAGTTTAGTGGTCCAGAAACTTCACATATTTGGTCAAGGCAGCCTGCAAGTGCTTGAATGCCAGTAACTCTGTTTTAAGGTCTATTTTTTTTTTTTTTTTGTGTGTGTCCAGTTCATTCTTTGCATTTAAAAAAAGTTGTTGTTATTGAAGTGCACAAAATATAACGACTCTTTAGAGTCATGTGATATTGAGCTGTTTTGTTTTTGTAATCCACCAGGCTTGTTATAAGTCAATATTAAAACTGGTAGCACCTTTGTTTATCGGGCGTGCTCATCATTCTAGGCTGTCAGAATATGGGCTTTAATTCTCCTTGTTACTTACTCTGTGCCTCTCCTCTCTTGGTTGTTATTTGAAAGTCATTTAGACTTTGAAAACTCCAGTATACACTGTAGAAGACATTTGTGAAGCAAAATATATTATTCCTTTTTTCAGCCCTACAGGTGTTGTATGCCGAGTTCTAGAGATATTTGTTTAAGTACTGAGGCAGTCAAATGCCTGTGGCAGCCTTTCTACTAAATCATATTTACATTGTTTTTTTGCATGTTTTGCAACACTTTCAAAGTGAATTGGTTAGGAAATGACAGGAAAGGTATCTAGTTTTAAACAGAATATGAATCTGGTAATGCTTTACATTGGATTTTGTACACATCAAATCAGAGGTAAGATTGTTTACTACACAGTCGTGGTTCACTGACAAGCTTTGAAATGTTGCATTTAATATCGCTCAAGCTTTATTATCGACCCGTAATAAAGATTTACTTTTAGCCATTAGCACTGATGTTTTTGCTTCCTGGTGAACTAGGGCCCTCAAACCCTCTAGTTTTTCACAATTATTTGGTGAAGTTTTTTTTGGACTGATTTTGTGGTGGTAATTCCCAGGAATTTGAGGACAATTTTGCTATAAAAATATATATAAATATAAATATGTTCATATGATATATTATTTATCGTATTAGGTAGCCTACTATGTTAGGTGTTAGGGCTGCTCGATTATGGGAAAAATCATAATCACGATTATTTTGGTCATAATTGTAATCACGATTATTCAAAAAGATTATCAGTTGAACTCAAAATTATTTGTCCTCCTGTGAGTTTATTTTTATATATAAATATTTCCCAAATGATGTTTAACAGAGGTTTTTTTTTTTTTTTTACAGTATTTCATATAATATTTTTTCTTCTGGAGAAAGGCTTGTTTGTTTTATTTCAGCTAGAATAAAAGCAGGTTTGAATAATTTGAAACCTATTTTAATAGCTCGATATTATTAGCCCCTTTAAGCAATATAGATGTTTGATTGTCTGCAGAAGAAACTACTGTTATACTATGACTTGTCTATTTACCCTAATTAAGCCTTTGAATGTCACTTTAAGCTGAATACTAGTATCTTGAAAAATGTCTAGTAAAATATAATGTGCTGTCGTCATAGCAAAGATAAAAGAAATCAGTTATTAGAAATGAGTTATTAAATCTGTTATGTTTAAACTGTGCTTTAAGCATCTTCACTGTATTTTTGATTTTATTATTGATTAATAATAAAAACAGTCAGCAGCAGCAGGTATATCGCACGCTGTCACTTTAAGAATGGTGGGGCTCTGATATGGTTTCTCTTTCACATGTCGTTTGATTCTCAACTTGTTAGTTTATTACACAAATGAGGGTTAATATCAATAGTCACTAAACACCGCGCTCTGACACAAATGTGCATGTATTTGACCATTAAAGCACTCACATTAAGATCGCGTTAGATGTGTGTGTGCTCTGCTGTCCGAGGCTAAGCGTGGCGCGCGTGCAAACTCACACACACGCTACCTGTCAGAGGCTAAGCACGGCGCACACACACAACAGCACATGCTCTTTTGCGCTTTTGAAAATATGAATGATGCGCATCCCGTGCTGCAAAAGTTACATTACAGCACATGCTTTTAGTCATTTTCACGTGGAACTAAGCTTTGCAGAGGCAAAGAGTTTTCACACGTGTACAACTGGAAGTGTGGCGGTACGTGATGGAATAATCGTTTATCTCGATTAATGGTTTTTCATAATCGTTAAAAGCCAAAATCGAAATCGGATTTTTGATTAATTGCACATCCCTATTAGGTGTGCAATCTGACACGATTACTATGACTCTAATCATAAAAATAAAACTTCTTTATTTTGGACTCTTGCCAAAACAAGACCTAAAACAGATCTAAAATGGAAGAGATTAAGCCAAAGGAAGGTTGTATAACTTATTTCTATCCACGATCTTACTTTCTCTTTCTCAGATTTCGCTCCATGGAGCATCTGACATCATGTACCTCACTCTGGACATGGATCTTTGAACCAGTCTCCATAATTGTAAACTACTTGCTGTTCTGTCCGTTCCACTGCTCCATTTGATAGATGTTTGCTCACACTTTCTTTTGCAGTCGCCTAAAGCAAGTCAAAAGCACATTCATTCATACATTTTCTTGTCGGCTTAGTCCCTTTATTAATCCGGGGTCACCACAGTGGAATGAACCGCCAACTTATCCAGCAAGTTTTTACGCAGCGGATGCCCTTCCAGCCACAACCCATCTCTGGGAAACATCCACACACACATTCACATACACACTCGTACACTACGGACAATTTAGCCTACCCAATTCACCTGTACCGCATGTCTTTGGACTGTGGGGGAAACCGGAGCACCCGGAGGAAACCCACGCGAAGGCAGGAAGAACATGCAAACTCCACACAGAAACGCCAACTGAGCCTAGGTTCGACCCAGCGACCTTCTTGCTGTGAGGGGACAGCACTACCTACTGCGCCACTGCCTCACCGTCAAAAGCACAAAACGCCCAATTTGCACCATAGATTGCCTAATCCCATTTTTGCATTGACTTCACGTGTAAATCACTTGTGCCTCACCCATGTCTGCTTGCTGCACAGCCCCCCCTCCATAAAATGTTATGATTGTGAGGGCGCAGATGAGAAGTCATATTTTAAGAGACGCTGAAATACATCATGTACGAGGCATATGCATCGTCTATAAGTCATGTAAAACAATTAATTGCAAACTGAAATAAATATGGGTTTAATTGTATGGGTTGGAATTGGATGTTTTATGAGATTTAAAAAATCTGATTATTTTGTGTTTAAATTATAAATTTTGCAGGATCACAAAAAAATTTGCGACTTTTTGTTAATTTTGCGATGGATTGAGCAAACACAGAGTCTGGTTGCTACATCTGAAAGCACATGAAAACACTGCATTCAATAAAAAATGTACAATTTTACTCTAACTTCGTAACTTCAGTCAAGTGTTTGAAATAAATCATTCCATGAGATTATTTCATAGTCATGTGATTATTAGTCACATTGAGACAATGAATAAAAGTTCGATCTTCTGTTTATTCAACAACAGTCATAGATATTTTTAGGATTTCCTAATCTTTCTTTCTTTCTTTTAATCTATCTTAGGGGGTTTTATATTTAATGCTATAGGACAGGGTATTACAGGCAGAAAAGCATGGGGAACAGAGAGAGGCAAATGATCTTTAGCACACTGATTGTGTGAATTTTAAACTCTTTCTGCTTTGATTTGTCATCTCATGCTAGCATTAAGCACTGTTAGAAAGCTAAGGCAGAGCACCCTAAAATGTAACTTTTAAATCTTTTTGTCATTCTAATGTCAGAGTGCTGTGTAGTGGAATGCAGCAGAGCAGTGCAATGATTACAGGTAATGTGGGTGAGGATACAATTGGGCCACTTCTATTTATTGGGTGGGAACTGATCCAAAAAAAAGGTATTATTGTTACGGACCTGCACTGTAT